ATTCTGGGACTCATTTGCAAGTGCAGTCGATGACAACCCTGGTTTATCAGATGTTGACAAACTCAATTATTTGAGAAATCTGTTAGTAGGGCCAGTCGAGGGCTACCGCTTACAGCAGAAATTTACGAGTCAGCTAGAGCCATTCTAAAGAAACGATTTGAGCAACCTCAAGTAATCATTAATGCTCACATAGAGGGATTAGAGAAAGTATCAGCTGTAAGCGCGTACAATCATTTGAGACGTCTACGCCTTCTTTATGATCGAGTTGAAGCTCACGTTCGAGCTTTACAAGTCCTGGGAATAAACTCTGAATCGTATGGGAAGCTTTTGATTCCACTCCTCATGGAAAAAGTACCTCCGAATATGCGCTTGAGAATTTCAAGGACCGTGGATCAACCAGAATGGGACTTGGATGTTTTACTTGACGCCTTTGACCATGAAATTGAAGCGAGAGAGCGATGCGAGCCGATTGGAACGAACCCGACCGATCCTTCTACCTCTAAGAACCCTTTCTTCAGCTCTTATTAATCAGTCTTAGGGATCTGTGACATGTACCAACCTGTTGAAATGAGAGAGCCGCTGCTTTATTTGTTTACGTCGCAACCATTTGGCAAGGAATTGTTCTCAAGGCAAGGCATGCCGCAATTTCTCAGGAAGACATCATATGTTAATCAGCGAGAAAGCCAACAGCATTCGTGTCAACTCCGAAAATGCCGCTTAAAGAAGTAATGTAATGACCGTCAATGAAGCAAATCGCCGAGAAAACAAGTCCTCTACAACAGTGTACGTGGACTCAAACATGTCAATTTTGCTGCAAACGGCCAACGCCTTTGTGTCACGGATCCATCAACCTCATTCTACTGTAACTATGCGCATTCTATTTGACAGTGGCAGCCACCGGAGCCAGATTTCCGAATGAGCGAAAGAAAAATTGGGTCTGTTTCCGAAGAGAAAAGAGAAGCTACTCATCAAAACGTTTGGACAAGAAAACGAAAACTTAAGAGAGTATGGCATTGTCGAATTCTGTGTCGGAGGATTGAGTCAAAGTTCAGGCGTTAAGATGATTGCTCATACCGTCCGTCTCATCTGCAGTCCTTTGACGAATCAAGCCGTACAGTTTGTTCAACAATCATACAGTCATCTGGCAGACTTGAAACTTGCAGATCAACCATCCGAAGACTGTGGTTCAGAAGTAGATGTCTTAATTGGCAATGATTTCTATTGGTCTTTCTTCACGGGAGACACGAAACGGGGGGAATCAGGACCTATGGCGATGAAGACGAGTCTTGGATGGGTGTTGTCTGGTCCTTTTCCCCAAACACCAGGTTCAGATACTGGTGTTCATTTAGTCACAAGCCATACCTTGCGTCTAGACACCTCCTCATGTGACGACACTGTTACCGAAAAGAGAATTTACGACCCGCTGCTGGAACATGTGAAAAAATTCTGGGAGAAAGAAGCTATCGGTGTGTCAACACAAGAAGAGACAGTGCATTAGAAATTCTTGGATACTATTCATGTTAACAACGGCCGCTGTGAAGTCTCTCTTCCTTGGAAAGAACAGCACGCATTACTACCGGATGACTATGCCCATGCCGTTTCTCGCCTGGCTTCTGTTCTAAAACGTCTAAGAAAGAATCGTGAGTTGTTTGGCAACCACATCATTGAAGAGCAATCTTCGCGAGGAATAATCTCCGATGTCGATCTCGACATACCAGTCGAAGTTGGTCACGTACATTATTTACCGCATCATCCAGTTGTGCGCGAAGATAAAAGACGTACGTAAGTGAGGATAGTCTATGATGTATCCGCTAAGTCTACTGGTCCAGCGTCAAATGACTGCCTTCATGCAGGTCTATTATTGCTTTCTGAAATACCCGATGTTCTGATGCGTTTCAGGTACCACCGAGTTGCTTTTGAGGTACTCGCAGTGGTTATCTGACCTGTCAAAAGCTGTATGTGTCCCGATCCAGCAATGTTTTCTTCCAGACGAGAGCATAATTTCGCTTCAACTACGGTTCGGAAGTAGCGTACACGGCAGCTGTATATCTCAGAATGGAAACGAGTCAAGGAGTATACGTTTATTTGTTGACGAGTAAGTCACGAGTCGTACCGCTTTCCAAGCAAACCATTCCCAGAATTTAGCTCTTAGCGTCACTCATACTATCCAGGTTGATTACCCGAGTCCGTTCAGCCCTACTTCCATTGGTCAAGATTACAGAAATATTTTTGCTGGACAGATTCCACTACGACTCTTCACTGGATAAAGGGGGTTGGACAAAGAATGCAAGCAATTCGTTGAAAACAGAGTCAAGGAAATCCGTCAGAATGTGCCGCTCAAAGCGTGGAACTATTGCCCCGAAAGTCAGAATCCCGCAGACTTACTCTCCCGTGGTATGGGATAAGATGCGTTAAAACAGTCACAACTATGGTGACATGGTCCATTTCGGCCAATGAAAGAAAAGAAGATTTGGCCTTACTTCGGAAACTCCCAACTTCAAGTGCTTATTTTGAAGAAATGCGTCTGAAAGCCAAAGGAAACTGGGCTTCTTATTGACTCTTCGATGATTTCGTTAACAAATATCTTCAAACCCCAGAAGTACAGAGACTTTAAGAAGCTGATACGATTAACAGCACTGGTGCTCAGAGCCGTGAAGAATTTCAAAACTGGAACACGTGGTGAGGAACCGAATGGCCTTTTGAGTACCGGAGAGTATGCTCTCGAAGAAATTCTATGGATCCGCGAAATGCAACAGTCTGTAATCAAGTCACATACATTTAAGGAATTGAAACAACAGCTAGCATTGTACACAGATGAAAGCGAGTTGCTTCGATGTAATGGAAGACTACAGAATCTTACGATTCCATTTAACGCCAAGTTCCCCATTTTCCTGCCATCAGATCATGACCTAACCGTTCTTATCATTCGAGATTGCCACAAGTGAGTCCAACAAAACGGAGTAAGAGAAACCTTGGCAGAACAAAGGTCTAGATTCTGGTTTGTGAAGGAAAGACAAGTCGTTCGCAAGGATTCTTTCAAAATGCGTGTTAGAAGACGAGAAGTCGATCAGTCTCTTCAGGAACAAGAGGACTCCTTTTAAAGGTAAACTGATCGAGGGAGGAAGATGTAGAAAATCTCTTTGGTTTTTTTAAATTTCAAGTTACAATTTTTCTCTTCCTCTCTTCCCTTTGTATTTTTTTTTTTATTCACGTGCGGCGCGCGTGATTTCACAAATTAGCCAATCACGTCAAAGAGCTTTAACCTTGACATTGGAAAACTGACGTGGACATTTTTCGCGTACTTTTAGTTTTGTTTTCGCGGAGTTTTAGATTTTTTTAACTTTCGTTCGCGTAAATTTGTTGCTCCTCTGTTTGGAATTTAAAGAAGTTTCGGAGTTTTTGTTTTAGCTAAATATTGTGGTTCTTTTAGCAAGTTTAATACATATTTTCTACGTAGTTTGGACTCGAGTCTCTTTTCGTAAATGGATTTTTTTACAGCAACGCTGCCTTGGTTGGGGGTTCACGTTCCCCGTTTTTCCCACCTGCTAGTTTTTAGAGGTTTTCGTGTCCGGCTTTGGTGCTTTTAGTTTACTTCAATCGTAAAAGACTTTTGTAAGCATATCGATTTGGCGTTAAATAAACGGTGGCTTGGCTGGCCAACGCGCTTGGAGGGTAATAGAATACAGAATACAACCTCTTTCCATGATTACCGACAGTAGTACATGCAACTGAACCTTTCAATGACCATTAACATGGGAATATTCCTTTTAGGAATTAAACATGAAATTTTGATTCAAAGCACAGTCTCTAAGTCATTGTTTCTATGTATATTATGCTGCAAAAGTCTGTGTTCTTTTTTTATAGATCAGATATCAGCTTTTTCTAAAAACCTTGATTGACTTCCCTTCGTCAAAAGTCATTTCAGAGCTTGCCTCAAAATTAGAAAGCCCTCCGACTTACCTGCTCAACGCCTGTTATCCCGCTCAGGCTAATGTTGCAACAACAAGATGGTGATCGCCGGATTTACCTTTGACAACGAATAGGGCTGGGTGCAACGGCAAAGTTGTTTGCTTTACTCTTTGAAAATTACGAGCTTCGCGTTGTCCATAGACGCTTATTTATATTAGAGGTTCATTATACCCGTTAAATACCCCTGCAAGAGGTAAATATTTTTCATCCGTGACTTACCAGTAAGTATTTCTAGTTCCAAAACATCAAAAAAGCTGTGAAAAACGACCTGAATAAAAAACACTAAGGGGAAATAAAAAGATGACCGAATTGAAGGACACCACCACAATATTCATCTATGTAATAGGAGAGTAGAGAGAGATAGGAAAGATCGATGCAGCGGAGTTTACCTCTCTTCCGAGTTCCTGTCATTAACAAAAGGCTGAGCACTAATCAATCTATAAATTTAAAACACCGAACACATTTAAATAAAGTAGTCAGAATAGATAATGTAAACTTTGATTTCAAGGTAAAAAGTGTGTTCAGGGATTAAGGTTTGTATACCTTGCTAGATTTGCAAAGAAATTGGCCAACTGAACAAATTTAAATACTGAAATTACTAGGGGACTCGTTTTCTATCAGACACCATAATCTCTAAGACACATATTTCTACGTGTTTCAAAAAGCACGTCAGGCAGATCAGAGGGAATTGAAAAATATGCTCTTAAAACCACAGGTTGGGTTCCAAGTCCTGGGCGGCTACTGTTGCAATCTCGCTCAACTGACTTCCTTAGTATCAAAGGGCATAACAAAATTGATTCCATCATTAGAAGAAACCTTAAACGTGCATTTATGACGACAACTTAACTGATTTATGTTATTGTTATACATAGGTGTCAAGATTTGGATTCGGTTTGGCCACAAGGAGGATGGGGCCGCGATTTCGTTTCACGCACGACTTTCGCTTAATTTACGCGCTAACAACACTCTATTGTAAGTATGTACATACAATAATACACCCTTTTGACGGGTGAGAGGCCAATTTAGCCATAGGCCACTATTAAAAGCTTTATTTTGATTACTTTTACAAAAGTGACTCTGATAACGTGATAACGTCCGTATTAACACTACTTGAACAAATTTAATGGACCTTGCAGTACTTTGGGGAGGCAATGGAGGCAATACTGAAGGCACAGATTACAATATCGATCTGATTATTCACAGCTCTTAAGGACACAGTTTTTTTTATTTACATACGTCTCACATTTCCGACGACTAAACTAATTCATTCAGCCGTCAAGTAGGCGAGAAGGAGCCTGTCTCCTTTAAAGCTCAGTCGGCCATGTTGAACAGCAAGATTGTCCAGCACCAGCACATCTCTCTTCCGCCATGGAAATCCCACAGCATTTCGCCAACCCGTCGCCCGGACATGTTCAATCACCTCTGGGTCAATCTCACTTCCGTCGCCATAAAGTGTGTGAGTTGGATACATGTGGTTGGGGAGAGACACGCCATCAAACATGGGGGACTCCTTGTAGTACGTGTTGTGATGAACGTTTGGTTGTGTGAACCAAATTTTGCGGCCTGTAACTGGATGAGTCGCCAGTGGTGGGAGTACATACCAGTAATACAGATTTCCAGTGCTTTCCTCCCACTCGTAATTGAACTTTTCTCTTTTCAAGTATTCCTCCACCTTCTACCATGCAAAAAAAGAAGAAAGGACAACACATTCAAACGGAAGTGGGATCGGATAAATATCATCGTGACTCTACCAAACTACTCCCCCACCAGGTGATTCCCTTATAAGCCTCTATTTCTTAGAGTCGTTTAGGTGAGCTTATTACCAGAGATACTTTTTTTTATGGGGAACTGAATGGAGGAATCAACGCGTTCAGTTTTCCAAACAAGATTTCAAGAAATGCACTGAAACTCAGACATTTAGCGTATCTGAAAGTGGCGACAAAATGAGACCAAGCGTCGACGTTATGTCTTCACAGGTTTCATTAACAATTTCCATTTTCCACGGTATTTTTGAAGACAGCTTAGAATCGTTTTTCAGTTCTCAACATATTCTGCATGGTTCTGACCGATCTTAAATGTAGTTTTTCTCATAAAGTTAGGGGTATATAATTTGTGAATGGGATAGCGAAGACTGAACATACTGATACGCCGGTAGGGGCTTAATATACATATATTTTTGTTATAATATTTTACTCCTCAGAAACCAAGGGGAATTTATTCATTTTGTTTTTCAGTTAAATGATAAGTCTTACGTTACAATGAATGAGCAATATTCTGTCGCAGAAATAGACATAGACATTTTATTATCTCAGTGCCTCTGTTCATCCAGAAGAGTGAATGGTTAACGGCAAACTTTCAGGGAGGCCCGGTGAAAGGTTGCGAGAGGGAGGGAGGGGGGTAGCCTGGAATTGACTGGTACCCCGGGGAGAAGGAAAGGCAATACTTCTAGTCGTATAACGCTGCGGGAACCGGGATAATATCAGATAAGATGAGCCACTGGGCTAGCAGTCACTCTTAACTCTTTACCGAAAGAGAAACATAACACATACCTTTGGGTCTTTGGTCATAAACGACTGTTGCCAAGAGGCATAGGGATGATGTTTCTCGTCAGGTAGGTATCGCGTGTAGCGTATTTGTCTTTCTTCCAGTATCCTTACCACTTCCGGATCAAGCTGATCGTAGATCTCATTATTTCTGACCAGCGGAGTTACACCTCCCCATTCTTCGTTAGGCTCAGTGAGACAAAAGAAAATGACCTGTTATAAAGAGAATATGTTATTAGGCAATCACCATATGAGGGGAAAGCCAACCTCTCAAAATTGTTTCGTCTGAAGGTTATGAAATGATAATTCTTAATCCGGGGAGCAAAAAGTACGAAGGAGTCGGCGGATCAATGTTAGTATCTGACCAACTGCGCACCTACCCACCTCTCCCCTGACCCTGAACTAAATCTAACTTGTTATCAGTTTTCTGTTGTTGGTTTAGGGGAGGGGTAGGTTCGCGGTTGCTCAGAAACTTACATTGATGCGAGTTGAATATGCCGAGTGTTGATTGACAATTTACTGCCGATGAGGGAAGGGGGAACATAAGAATATTGCAGAGGCTTATGGGGGGTACACATGAATTTTGTCATGTCACAACCAGATTCCTCCAACCCCCCCACCCATTACCCCCCTTCCTCCTTCCCCCCCCCCCCCTCCCTGGCTGACCAGTTCCTTAATGATATTTTACACGCCTAAAGTATCCTTTAAACGTTTGCTTTAATCGAGGACTCCTTGTCTTAATTTGAGAACGTGTAAAATGAAACTCTGGAGACGTTTTAAAATTCTTAAGTCTAAATGTGTAAAAGTGAGTGGAAATACATCACCTTCTTGGGATGAACTGGTGAACAAGCCATCTCATTATGAAGCTCGATGTTAAAATCTGGGGGATCACTGGTGGATAAATACACTTCCGTTTCACCTTCTGCTAAGTATCTGTTTCCGGTACCACCTTCGTAATTCGTTGGTTTGTAGCCGAGGTTGTCCGCAAACTTGGCGAAATCTCCGGCTTCAAAAAGGGGCAGATTGCGAAATAAGACAGCGTTGTATTTTGGAAGAACTCTATCGAGCTGTTCCCGGCAAAGCTGACCCCATTTATCAGGGGTCAGGTGATCAATAGATTCGGCGCGCAAAGCAAATGGAAATCCTTCTCTTGCGGATGAAAGGAATTTCGGGAGGCCCTTTCCACCAGATCCAGGTAGGTATTTCCTGCCAGCAATTTGATGTTTAAATTGCAGCGCTAAATCCTTGGGAGGTAAAGGTGTGAAGAACGACTGATTTTCTGCAACTTGAGGCTTTGAGGAAAAGGACATTGTTAGCTTGATCGCACACAAAATGGATCGTGTTCCATGGTGTACGGGATTCCTCATGAAAACAGATTTTGATGTTAACATCTGCAAAATGATATATACATATTACTGAATAGTCGAAGTCAAGAGATTTATATTTGAACGTATTTTGTTGATGCATTTCACTACTTTGCATCTTAAGAGCGGTTTTTCATCAATAGGCATGCGGTTAGCGGATACTAATTACAGCACGTACAGCCTATACGGGGAGGCCAATCATTGAAATGTTTGGAGAGGAGCCAAGAAAATGGGACAGATGCAGGAATTGAAATTTCTTAATAATCCTGAAGCGAAACATTTAAAAATTAAAAGAAAAGAATCATAAACAAACTGAAATTCTCCATTTAGTAGACAATATGTGATTTACAATTAGGTTTACTGCAGATGGTTTAGTCAAAACTTCCTTCTTGTGATTGGCTAAGAGGAGGCAGAGTCTTAAAGGTTAGACATCATAGTTGAGAGGACATTGTGTTACGATAGCATCAAACTACAGGATGTGATATTGTAGCAATGACGCCTGATATCAACTCTGATTTTGATGAAAGTACTCGATTTGGCGCCCTTGAGATGACCTTCACTTCAACTTTTTTTCTGAGACGTGTGTTTGATTTTCATAGCGCGTCAGTAATCGCTAAGAATACCTGGGATGCGGAAAAGAAAAGATGATTGTAATGTAAGGAATTCGAGTTCGTTTCGTTTGTAGAATCAATAACTGAAAGATAAACTCGTGTCCTCCCTGAGAACATCAGCAGCGCCGACCTTATCAGCATTATATTCAATAAAAAACAAACACAACATTTGCATTTGCAAAGTATTGGCGCAAGTTGTGTTTTTTTCTATTGTTATTTTGTTCAAAAACGTATGCTGAGTCATACTGCGTTGTTTCTGTCAGTTTTTCCCATGAGACCCGTATTTTATATATATATATATATATATATATACCCTTGTGTTCACAGTCAGTAACTGTACCATGGTTTGGATTGAATTGGGAGTTTGTCTTTGCCTTGTCGAAAAGTCATATGCGCCTCACATTAGTTACGCGTAAAATAATTAAGTGCAAGTATTCAATTAATCTTTTTCTTCCTTCTGAATTCACTCGATTTTCGCCGCGTAACTAGATCTCTTACGATAACCATTTACTCAAAGTGATACAGTTTTACGACCCCGCATCGAGTATTTGAGTATTCTCTCTCAGAAGTGTAGGACATTCTATCCGTTATTCCAATGACGCTAATAAAAGCGGACCTTGTTAAAACATTGAATACAAACTTAAAACGGAGAAAGTTAACTTAGGTTCTACTCGATTCATAGCTAGGAAACTTAATCTACTGAACAATTATTAGCGAGATCGTAATTTTCAGCTTTACTAGGTTTGTCAATGTCCGCATCAATGTAGTAAAAGTACTATTACACTGTCTTACCATTTTTTGTGAGCGCTGGTGATTCGCTCAACCACTCAATACTTGAGTATCAATAAGTGAATCGCATGAAATCAGCTTTTGATAAGTTTGTATCATTGTAGTGGAGCCCTTTACGCGTAAGAGTGCAGAGTGTGTGAGACCTAATCTAGTTAACAAACACAACCGCAATTTCAAGTATGGATAAAAGTTTTCCCTATTATCAATGTTAATAAAAGTGGTTGCAAAGAATGAAATTTGCAGAAGGATAATCCCACCTTATTCTTCTCAAAGGAGCTGTCAACAATTCTGTAAGATTCGATTGTGAAAAAGTCTCCGCATTGGAGCGATTCGTGGGCCAGTTGAAGTCTCGGCTTCTACAACGTATTGATATCCGAGGTGTGCCCAGCTTAAGTACAAATATCTTCACATCACACTTAATGATATTAGACACAGCGCATTTTATTTTGATTGGCATAACCGATTTGGAAAATACGATTTTTATGACGTTGTTATCCTGGAAATGCAGACCAGCTCTGGCATCAGTTATTCATTTTCCTTCCATCAATGCAGGCTGCAATTTGCTCTGAACTTTTCCCAGAGCATAACAGAAATGAAAGAATATAGGCTTGCTCTTAGCCATTTCCGGCTGGCTTTTTAAAACCAATATTATACCTTCTCTTTGTCACTTGTTAAGTTAAATTCAAATGAGCTATTTCAGATATAGGCTCAAAAGGTCTTTTATTTGCTTGCGACTGGAATTTCCAAAATATTTCGGACGTAATAATAACACTTCTTTCTCCACGGTGTAATAAACACTTAATTAACTGAAAACTATACCTTAGGGAAAATCAAATTGGAGTTGAAGTTTTCGACTTCGCTAGAAAGACACGCAAGCTTTACTGTACTTGAGGAGCAAATTCTACAATCTCTCTCTCATAATTCAATTCTACGCAAGGGTTAAAGGTGTTAGGACTTTTTCCTAGCGCGTATAACACGGCAAACAGTTTCTTTTTTACTTCCACAGCCAATATTTATCGATACACCACAGTCGACTGATAAATATGCCAAATATCATAAAACCCTAGTGGCATTTCCGAGGCCAGCAATGGCCAACATTTTATATCGCTTAAGGCATCCGATCTATATAAATTAGTTTGTAAAGGTAGCTAAACTCTTCTCACAAATATGCTGATAGAAGAACCGTTATGTCGATGTCGTGTGTCTGACATCATGCACCATCTCCTCGAATCACTTTGGGAGGGAGCGAGAGTTTAAAAGATGTTTCTTAACAGCAACTCCAGTGCATAACTTAACTTGACATTAAAAGCAGAGGAGGCAAGTGACGTATATTTGTAATAAATATGCGATAAAATGATAATAACTTTAAGTGTAGAAACTCTGAGAGAAAATCGACCGACCCTTAAAAAATTTTGGAATTGGTTTGAAACATTCGATAACCTCACAACAAATACTACTTCAGGAGTCAAATTTAGATCGCTGTAATAATTTGAGTTAAAATTCACCGCTTGTACTTGTACAGAAATGGCTATCGGTCGCCTTTTGTTCCTTTATAAATATTTGAAGAAGACATTTCCTCTTTCGCGTAATGACACGCCCATGACTTAATTTTAGACCCACTTCATTGCATTAAGAACATATATTCGACCACAACAGACAACTACGTAAGACTCACAACATACCTTTTTCGCTTCAAAACCAGAGAGGGAAATTGGATTCGATGTCATCTTGGGAGAAGCATTTGTTCACAAAAATATTCACGTTAATCCTCTATTGTTTCATGAGCGAGTACAACGCTAAATAGTTAATTAGCATATTTTCTCACATTTTTGTTAATTATCTCGAAATAAAATCACTGATGGTGTAATTGACGATAGAAGGCAACAAAGGAATCGTCCTCAGCATGCAGTGAAGTTCTCCGAGACTTTCAGCAGTTTTCGACGACAACAGTTAATGAGCAAATCAAAAGTTTTGCTCGAGTAAATTTTTTTTTGTTATGTTTGAACCTTCTGATGTAAGTTAACAGCGAGATGTCCCAAAATTTATCCTCATTGAGAACGGTCGTCAGTTTTTCATGGTAGACAAGAGAGAGGTCTGGCGTCGTCAAAGACAGTAAACACGACGAGCCACTTGTTTAACTCTTAAGAGAAATATAAGTTTGTTTTTCATTCAAAGTTTTTGTGAGCGTCGCCCTTGCGACTGCTTAAACTCTGATATGATCATACTGTATGTAAAACAAGTATGCGGACTGACAAGGTTGAAATTTCGGAATCTACTACTACGCATCGAGAATGCTAGATGATACCCGCATGACGCACAAATTGTCGTATTGATGCCCTAATTTTGTGGCAATAACAAGATGCTCGAATCTGATTGGTTCTTAACAGTCTTTATTTCTTACTTAATATAGCTTATGCAGCACAAAACTTTCCCATTTGGCTTGTGTGAATACAAGCATCTTGCTATCGGACTGGTCAAATCGGACAGTTAAACAGCGAATAACAATTAAGCACTTAACGGTAACAGGCACACCAATGCCAGCAAATGAAAATTAAGGTCAAGTTTGATGAGCAAGGTTGCCTGGGTTTAGCTTGAAAACGAAAATTGTACGAAATTGACCGGTGCTATGACTTGTAATCAGATGTTATATTTACGTCAAGAACCTTTTCTTAGGACACTGAAGGAGAAATATTTCGAGGTTTTCTCTGTGTAAATTTTTTTCACCCTATCTTGTCTTTTCGATAGCTCAAGACAGTTGAACCTTAGGCTGATGTGCTAACCCTTTACACCCTAACATCAGTATGCGTATTCTCCTTACTGTTCTCAATAGTACTCCTAGGGTGCTGAAAAGAGAATTTGTTGAACTGTCACGAGTTTTGTTAATTGGTGATCATTTGCTTTATTCTTTCGACTTTAATGTGTGATTCAGGGGTGATATTGTAAGGAGAAATTAGATGCTTATCACTCTTAGAGGTGATAGGGTTAAATAAGATACCTATCCTGTTTCTTGCAGTTTTTCATTGACCTGTCAATAGGCCATTTTATGGTTGTGTGCTTGGTTGCTAATCCTTTTAACAGGAGTGAGGTTAAGAGTAACCTTGTTGTAATACAAACCCTGCTGCTTTTCAAATGCAGATTGCCTTAATACTATGCTAACTAGATACTGGTCTCTTTCCTACAAGGTCACCTTTTAGACTCATTCCAAATCAAAGGCTTAGCAACTAAGTACACAACTGTCATATGGCCTATTGTAATAGGGGTTAGACCCTAAGGGGTTCTCATGCTTGTAATTTCGCAGATTCTCTCCCTGAATTTTACTTCACGTAGTCCTGTTGCAATGCAAATGGAGCAAACACAACGACCGTACGAAATAATACGACAATAAAATGAGAGGTGAAACAGAGAGCAAGCGATACGCAAACGAGACAATCTAATCGAGAAAGAAAAATTAACGTCGTTACCATTAAATAAAAGAAAACTAAGAGCGATTGAGATAACATCACAACGAATGTAAGAAAAGTTAAGAACGCGCGGGTAACTAGCGAATTCGAAGTAATCAAATGAAAGAGAAAAAAGACCGTACGAGTGATGAGTGCATCATGGGTGTGCCAGCGCGTTATTACATTCTAAGCTACAAAAATACTTTTTTCAATATTCTAATAAATCTGCAGTACATTAAACATTTTAGTGGTAATCATCGTGATTTAAGTGCGCTAGTGTCCCATTTTAGGTGTTAACTTCACTTGGTATTTTTTTTTTACCTTCTACAACTATATAAATTGTGATAAGTAAGTTATTATGAATAAACTATTTAATGCAAAATCGTTTTATTCTAAAGTTATTACGCGTAGCACTATTAATAGCCTATTTGTCTTCCCAAATGCTATGGCAAACCCGTAATACGTTCATCATTGGGGTGAATAATAGTTTGCATTATCTTTGGTGCTTTATTGATATTTTTCGCTCTGTAATTAGAAATACTCAAATATATGGGAAAATGAGATTAATTTATAAAGTAATTTATATAGGCTTTTAACTGAAGTATTGAAGAAAACAAGCTTTTAAAATCAATTTTCAGTTCTATCCATAAACGTCTTAATACATCAAGAAAAAAAGAAAAATTTTCTCACAAAAAAAGGAAATCGGATTAAATAAACAACATGAAAAAGCTGTACCTTTACCAAGAAAACAGAAAAATGTTTTTTCAAAAGAAGAAATTGAATGAAATAAACAATTAGAAAAACCTATTCCTTTACCAAGAAAAAAACTGTTCCTCCACCAAAAACTTTTATCACCAGACCAACTACTGATGATCATGGATTTTCCTATGATTAACAGTAAGCGCATTTTGCCGAGTTAACTTTTTTTTTAAATGAAAACGCATGTCCGAAGGCTATTTGTTTCTCGTTTTTTTCATAGTTTTAATTGATTGGCAACATTGATTGATATTCTGGAGAACATTTACAAGAAAGATTTTTAATGTCTTGGGCAGAGAGAGCGACGAATAAAAATGTTTGATCCCGTATGCGTAACATCCACTTGGATAAAAATTTAATTGAAGAAGTTTTATTCTTTGGACATTGCTTCTCCAGTATAATCAAAATCAACATGTTCTCCTGGTTACGACCCTCCTAGCATCCTCATGGCTTGGATTCGGACGCACGCAAGGGAGGAGAGACGCCTGTCTGCGGCGATCCTGGTAACATGAGCTTCCAGATTATCGCAGTGTTCACCGAAGTTCAGCCAAAGTTGCTCGTCACAAGCAAAAGTAGCCCGTGCTCTTGTAACACGGAAATACGACTGCACCAGATGGGAAAGGATCAACAGATATTGCTCATATTCTGCAGTGGATACACGCCTACTGGAGTGTCGTCCCTTTCCTAATACTGCTCGGTAACATTCCTCGTATGGACGAATAGCTGTGACGCAGCTACTCTCCTTTCTTCTTAAGTCCAATTCCATGGTTTGTAAAAATTCCTTTATTTCATCTTTAGCTGCTAAGTCGACTGGTTTTTCATCCTGGGCATTTTTTGCTTGCAGTAAAGGTAAACCTGAGAGAGGATAAAAAAAACTTGCTTATATAAACCTCGTTCCCACCTCGACGGTTGTGTTGAGGAGAACGAAGAAATTTTCCTACACGACATGAAATACATAAACTTCCCAGGCGTACATAACATTGGGAAAAAGTTATGCATTTTTCAGATTAAATCTCTGTTTTCCTCTCCCTTCCGAGGCTTGGAAAACTAGTTTGCAAATTTCCGTATCTATACCGTCTTAAGAGAATTCAAAAGTCTACACCTACTCTAGGAATGAGTGTCACGGATAACTTAAATGATGGGCAGACCGTAAGCAACTAGGGAATT